GTGCGGGTCTCTGCGCGCCGAGCATGGGCTCCGCTTCGCCATCGAGGAGCTGCTCCGACGGCCGAAGGTTCGCGGGCCCGTCCTGGAGATTTGTCGTGGGCCACTGCACCTGGGCGATGCTGCTCAAGAGGTGCCCCCTGGCCATCTTCGACGCGGTCCACGCCTTCATCGCCTCCGCGAAGGACGAGGCGATGCCGCTCTGGCCGTCGGTGCGGCGCGAGCTCTGGCACGCCCGCTCGCTGCTTCCGCTCTTCGTCGTCTTCGCCGGCGCGGACTGGCGCGACGAGGTCACCGCCAGCGACGCTTCGGGCTGGGGCTGCGGGGTCTGCCGCCGCCGCTGCGACCGCGACGCGTTGGCCGAGATCGGTCGCGCGGCCGAGAGGTGGCGATGTGTCTTCGAGGAGTCAGCTCGCGCGCGCGACCACGCCCTGGGGCCTGGCTCTCCTGGCGCTGCGCTTCGTGGCCCAGGCAGCCTGCCGACGGGCGAGGCCAAGAACTCGGGCGGGCCCTTCGGCGAGGTCGACCCGAACCTCCTCGCCGAGGACGGCTGGGCCATCGCGCACTCGTTCCCGCAGAGGGATTCCTTCGACGCCTACCGCGCGGAGGGGCTCGCCGTCGCGTCCGCGCTGCGCCGCCAGCTCAGGGTAGCGGGCGCCTTCGGGAAGAGGCTCGCGCGCCTGGTCGACAACATGTCGCTCGCCCTTGCCATCGGGGAAGGCCGGGGGGCCTCGCCGCAGTAGCGCAGCGTCCTCCGGGAGATCTGCGCGCACTCCCTGGCCCGCAGGCCCCGCGTCTTTGCCGGGTGGGCCCCGAGCGAGCTCAACCCCGCGGATGCGCCCTCGCGCGGCCTCCGATACATCAACTCCGTCGACGCCAAGGTGGCTGCTGCTCTTGGTGACCGCCTCCATGATCCTCGAGGCTGCCGCGGGAAAGCGGGGGCGCTCGGCGCGGCCCCCGATGCCGACAGGACGCGCCCCTTTTCTCCAGCCCGCCCCCCTGGCCGCCGGTGCTGGGATCCTGACGGCCGCCGCCCCGCAAGCGGCAGCTGCGCGCCAGCGCGAGGCCCTGAAGGGGGAGCTCCTGATGGGGATCGCCTACCTCGAGCAGAGGTCTGTCAGTGAAACCACGCCGAAGAACTACCAGCGGAGGGCGGGCGCCTTCGCTGACTGGCGCGCCCAGCTCTTCCTGGGCAGGGGCAGCTCGGACCAGCTGGGCGTGCTAGCGGTGGCCTACTTCGACTACCTGTACTTTCGCGGCCACAGCGGGGACGACGCCTCGTGCCTGCTGGCTGCGCTGAAGTTCTTCCTGCCGCAGATCGGCCGCTGGGGCGACCAGGCGCTTTGCCGAGCCTCGCGCGACCTGGCGGGATGGGGGCAGCGCGCCCCCCGCAAGATGCGCACGCCGCTGCCGCGGCTGCTCGTGGCGGCGCTGGCGAGCGCGATGCTGCACCGCGGCCAGATCGATCAGGCCATCGCCATGATGCTGAGCTTCGCGTGCTATCTCAGGCCATCAGAGTGCGACCAGTTGACGGCGATGCAGGTCGCCCCCCCCGTCGCGGCGGGCGCCGCGGGCGAGGGGCTCGCCGCGCTGCTGCTGTGTCCGGGCGAGTTGGGGCGGCCCGGGAAGACAGGCCTCTGGGACTTCACGGCGGTGGTCGACACCTTCGCCTTGAAGCGCCGTGCGCCGTGGCTTGAAGCGCCGTGCGCCGTCGGGGACATCGCGGAGCTGGTCGTTCCCGCCAGCCTCGCTCGGCACGTGCATGAAGGAGGCGGCTGGCGCGCTGGGGCTGACCGACTTCCCAGCCCCAGCTTACGGGCTACGTCGCGGGGGCGCCTCGGACGACCTCCTGGCGAAGAGGCGGGCGGCCCTCGACGTCCAGCAGCGCGGCGGCTGGGCCTCCGACGAAAACTTCAAGCGGCACGCCAATCAGGCTCGCATCCTGACCGAGCTGCAGCACGTCGGCTCCCAGGCGACCACCTTCGGCCAGGTGATGGGCGCCGCCTTGCCGCGGATTTTCCCGCAGGGCGCGCCGCTGCCCGAGCTCTGCCTGGCCTGGCGCGGGCAGTAGAGCCTGCAGGTCCGACCCGGGGGGGCCCCTCGACGGAGTCGATCCATCGTCGCCTCCTCAAAGAGCCCCATGCAAGCTTCAAGCGTCGCAAAGGCCCCCCATCGGACTGTTGTGCTGGAGCTGTTCGCCGGCACGGGTCGCCTGTCCGCTGCGCTTCGGCGCTGCGAAGTCGCCGCGCTGCCGATGGACTTCCCCTCGAAACAGTGGTTCGATCTCGACCATCCTGTTGTCCGTCAGGTCGTTCGGGGGTGGGTTCGTGGTGGAGTCGCTGCCGCTCTTTGGATTGCGCTGCTGTGCTCGTCTTGGGGCCAGGCCAGACACCGGCCGCCTGGGTCGTCTTGGTGCACCATCCGCTCGAGGGGACACGTCTGGGGGCTGCCGAACCTTGCAGCCAGGCCCCAGAGGGCGGTCGACCTGGGGAACAAACAGTTTCGATTCGCCCTGGGCCTGATCGCGCTGGCCCGCTCCATGGGAGTCCCCGTCTACTTCGAGAACCCAGGTGGTTCCTGGGTTTGGAGCACGCCCGCCTTGAAGGCCCTGCTGGGGGCCCACGGTGCCGTGTCGTTCGACGTCGACATGTGTGCCTTCGGTGCCCGATGGAGTTCACGCGGATCGTTTGCTGGGCCCGACATCACCGAGACGCTCTCCTGAGGCCGCGACGCAGTGGTAGAAAGGGTCTATGTTATTTTTCGTACAAGCCCCACATTGTCCTTTCTGGCCTTGACCCCGTCTCTGGGATCCTTTGGACCCGCCTTGCCGAACCTTGCCCTGTCAAGCTTTGCGATTGCTTATCCGATTTAATTGCAAGGCAAGCTGGTTTTCAAGGCTTCAAGCGTTTGGTTTCCCTTGCTTGTCCTGTCTCTGATCAGTACTCTTGCTAATATTTTGCTTCTGCCTGTTTCAGTTTTTGTTTTATCGGCGCCGTCCTGCAGTCGCCAATTCTCCTCTCGTGCTCGGGTTTCTTCCTCGGTGGTGTGTGGGTGCGTTGGGTCCTCTTCCTCCTCTCTCTCCTTTGTGTGTCTCGTTCGCCTGCTGCCCCGCCTTCGGTGGAATCGCCCGGGACGCCATCCACACAGAAATGTTTGGGGTGGCCTGGGGTGTAGCAGGAGATGGCCGTGTTTGCACATCTCATTTTCAGTGGAACCGAAGGCCGTCGTGGTCTCGCATCTTCGCCGCGACCGCGTCGGCCCAAGTTTTTTTTCTGGCCCGCCCTCCTCTCCCTCTTCTCTCTCTCCTCCTCGGTGGTGTGTGGGTGCGTTAGGTCCTCCTCCTCCTTTTCCTTTCTCTCCTCCGTGTGTCTCGTTCGCCTGCTGCCGCGCATTCGGTGGAATCGCGCAGGACGCCCTCCACACAGAAATGTTTGGGGTGGCCTGGGGTGTAGCAGGAGATGATGATTCTGTTGACGAAGCTGATGATGATGATGATGGTGATGATGATGATGCCGATGCTGATGCTGATGTTGATGACGATGATGATGCTGATGCTTATGATGATGATGATGATGATGATGATGATGATGATGATGATGATGATGATGATGATGATGATGTTGATGTTGATGTTGATGCTGAATATCACGATACTGATGCTGCTTCTGCTGATGATGATGTTTGTGATGGTGATGGTGATGGTGGTGATGCTGAGGATGACGATGACGACCATTATGATAATGCTGACGCTGGTGTTGTTGATGCTGATTGTGATGGTGATGGTGATGATCATTATGATGACGATGATGATGCTGATGCTGATGCTGATGATGCTGATATTCATGATGAGGATGATAATGCGGCTGACGATGATGACTACGATGATGGGAATGAGGACGATGATGATGGTGATGGTGGTGATGATGATGATAATAACGATGATGCTGACTGGTGATGATGATGACGATGATGATGATGACAATGTCACTGATGATGAGGTTGATGCTGACGATGATGTTGGTGCTGATGCTGATGCTGATGCTGATGATGAGTACGAGGATGAGGACGATGACGATGATGATGATGAGGAGGAGGAGGAGGAGAATGAGGATGCGGATGAGGATGCGGATGAGGATGAGGATGAGGATGAGGATGCGGATGAGGATGAGGATGATGATGATGATGTTGATGATGATTCTGATGACGGTGATCACGATGATGATGTTGATGATGTTGATGGTGATGATGATGATGATGCTGAGGTTGATGATGATGCTGATGATGATCATCATGCTCATGATCATGATCATGGCCATGATCATGCTGATGATGATGATGGTGATGGTGATGGTGATGGTGATGGTGATCGTGATGATGATGATGATGATGATCATGATGATGATGATGATGATGATGATGATGATGATGATGATGATGATGATGGTGGTGGTGGTGGTGATGATGATGATAATGATGATGATGACTCTGATGATGCTGCTGCTGCTGCTGCTGATGATGATGATGATGATGATGATGATGATGATGATGATGATGATGATGATGTGCTGCTGATGCTGAATGATATGATGATGATGATGATGATGATGATGATGATGCTGATGATTGATGATGATGATTGATGATGATGATGATGATGATGAAATGATGATGATGATGATGATGATGATGATGATGATGAATGATGATGATGATGATGATGATGATATGATGATGATGATGAGAGGAGGAGGAGGAGGAGGAGGAGGAGGAGGAGGAGAAGAAGAAGGAGGAAAAGGAGGATAAGGATAAGGAGGATCAGGAACACGAGCAGGAACAGGATCAACGGAGGAGGAAGGAGGAGGGAGGAGGAGGAGAGGGAGAGGAGGAGGAGGATTAGAATGAAGAGGAGGAGGACGAGGAAGGAAGAGGAGGAAGAGAGGAGGAGGAGGAGGAGAGAGGAGGAGGAGGAGGAGGAGGAGGAGGCGGCCGCGAAATTCTGGCTCAGGTCATCCCGCCAGAGGCCTGGACCCCCCCCGCACCCCCGCCTGAGCGCCCACGGGCCCAAGCCGCATCTGCGATGCGCCCAGGCGGCGCCCCCGCCGCGGAGGGAGGCCCCGGCCAGGCCGCGGACCCAGACCCGCAACGCTTTGGCTTGGGCATCGCTCGGACGTGTGCAGGTTTTCCCCAGTGGCAGCCATCGGAGCAGAAGAAGCGGCATAAACATTTGACTTTCGGCGCCCTGCGCGCATCTCTTGCATCCGCGCTGGGCCCCCCGTGGCGGCGCCTCTGGCGCCGCCCCTGGCCCGCTCCGCACGCCAGGGAGGGGTGTGCAGCGCAGATCTAAGAAATCCGCGCGGAGCGCCAACATTTTATGCTTACGCCGTTTCTTTTGCTTTTTTGCTCGTTTTCTTCGTCTTCTTCTTCTTCTTCTTCTTATTATTATTATTATTATTATTATTATTATTATTATTATTATTATTATTATTATTATTATTATTATTATTATTATTATTATTATTATTATTATTATTATTATTATTATTATTATTATTATTCTTCTTCTTCTTCTTCTTCTTGTTCTTCTTCTCTTTCAGGACGTCCGGCGGCCTCGTCCTGTCGGTCCCGCGGCCCCAGGCTTCTCGTCCCAGGTGCTCTTCTTGGCCCGGGCCCCTTTATGTTGCTGGCCCCCTCGGGGGCCCGACGGCGGCCCCCCCCCCAGGGGCCCGGGTGGAAGAGCAGCGCCGGGACGGAAGCGGTCTGTCTTCGGGAGGTCGGCGATCTAGAATCTGGGCCTCCCAGGTGGGTTTCGACAAGATGATGCGTCGATCTGGGCCTCCCAGATGTGGTCCGGGTGGGTGGGGCCAGAGGATCGCGATGCATCGCCGATGCATCGGCAGTGCGGCTCGATGCGGAGCACGATTTTCCCCACGCCGATGGCGCCGATGTATCGCACACGATACATCGGCGCTGCATTGGCGATGCGGCGCGATCCTCCGACCCCACCTACCCAGACCCCATGTAGGAGGTCTCTAGTTTAGGGATCCTGGCATCTTCGGCGAGGTTCGGACCTCGAGGGAAGCCCTCGTAGCCACGGCCTGGCCCCCTCGAGATTCCGACCAGAGTGCGCCCCAAGGTGGATCCAGGGTCGATTCTCAGGAGGAGGAGGAGGAGGAGGAGGAGGAGGAGGAGGAAAAGGACCCCTCTTCCGTTGCCATTTTGGCTCAAGGCTCGGGACAGGCCCGAGGTTGAGTGTGGCAGCTCCTCTGGAGCCTCCCAGCTGTCAAAGGCTGGCGGACACCCCTTTCTTCCTTTTGTTCTCCCCATGCCCCCTGCCGATGCACGCTCTGGCAGGGACCGCTCTCGCTCGCAGGAGCAGCCCGCGACCCACTCTGGCAAGGGAAAGGTGGTGCAGGACGCGGCCAAGACTCCGCCTCTCTCTTGGAGGAAATCGAGGTGTTCCCCACCCTTGCTTCTCAAGACTTGCCTACTCCTCCTGCTGCCGATGTGGATATTCGGCGATACGTGTCAGCAGAACATCGAAATCGTGGCTGCCATGGCGAGCATTCAGCAGTCCATGGTCAAGCCCCAGCAATCCGTCAGTGCCCACCGCAACGGCCTCAGTCAGCAGGCCGAGCAGCGCCTCGCCAAGGTTAAGGCCTCCCAGCAGAACCATTCGCTGCGAATGGACATCATGGCCCAGGAGATCAAGGAACTCAAACTGGCCTTCAAAATTGTGCAGTCCTCGGCGCCTCCCCCACCTGCCAACTCATCGAACAACTTCCAGAGGAAGACCGACCCATGTATCATCGTGGTCAGAGCCAACCAGCTGGTCACGAAAGAGTCCGTCCAGGCTGCCGTGGCCCCATGGCTCGCCGACGCCAACTTCGAGGACAATGCCTGGAGGCTCGAGGGAGATGTGGCGGCGAAGCGGTTCGTGGTACGTGACAAGGGTGCTGCTGGATGGGCCTCCCGCCTGGTTTCTCGGGCGTTGGGCCCCATGCGGCTTCCAGAAGGCGAATTTCGGCGTCTCCAGGCTCGCATGCCCACAGGTGACCTCGCATATCTGCACGTTTCCGAGGATAAGATCATGTTCCAGATTCGTCGCGAGCTCGCCACCAAGCAAGTTCGTAAGGCTCTCTCTTCGTTTGCCCCTAATGTCAAGATGTTCGCAGATAAAACTTCTGGCGCTATCAGTGCTGATTGGAAACCGCTTCTGCGTGCCACTTCCCCGCCAGCCCGACGCCCCGTGCATCGAATGGGAGGGGGGCAACCTTCAGGCCATCGGCATCTGTCGCACCGAGGTCGAGGAGCGGATCTTCTCCTCGATTGCCCTCTCGAGCCCTGCGCCTGCTGCTCCTGCCCGGCGGTGCGTCTAGCATTTTTTTTCACACTGGTGGGCATGCCTCCCCAGAGCTCACCTGGAATGGGCGAGCTCTTTTTCACCGCGGTCCCATTCTGCGGTCCTCGAAACAGCGCTACCTTCAGAACCTTCTCCACGGGTTTCGGATTCTGGCTGCCCAGGGGAGCCGCGGCAGCTACTCCGATGTCCCCGATGTCCTTCGCATGTCGTCCTCGGGCTTCCAGGCGGAAGCCAGTTTCTTCCCGGAGCTCAAAGGCGGGGTGATCACTTTCGTTCCGAAGTTTTCCAGGTTCCCTGGCGCTGGGGCCTCTGCGGCCTCCTCAGTGCTTGTCCGCGGGTGCGCACCTCGCACGTTTATCTCTCTAGGTATTCGTTCCCCTGGGAGCGGGGCTACTGGAGTGGGCTCTGCCGCTGCACCTCCTAGGCATATCATGCACTGCAACATTCACAATCATGACATAGTTACGTGCTGACGAGACGCGTCACATTCATGAACAGCTGCACCTAGACATACAGCGAGCAGAGTCCGATCCTCAGCATGTCCTCGTGGTGCTTGCTGGTGATTTCAACGTTTCGCGGGGCCCCCCGCGCCCCGAGGTTCCGTGCGAGAGCGCGGCGGGCGACGATCTTGCTGTGCCGGAGTGGAGGCGGCTTCTCCGCTCCTCGTGGCAGCCGACTTTCGGCAAGCTTGCCGGGCTAGATCCGATGGGGCACGCTCACTACAACGGCTGCCGCCGACGCACTTCCGCGATTGACCGCCACTTTGAGTCGTGGCCCGGGTGGGTCCTGACCAGCATCCCGGAACAACGCAGAATCTCTGATCATGCCCCCGTAGTGGCTATCCTCCGAGAGAGACCCCCGATGGGCCCTGGGCACCGCGCGACCCCCAAACACCTCTTTGACCACCCCGTGTACCAGAAGTTTGTGGACTCCTATTTATGTGGCCTCCATGGGCGTCTCGGGCCCAGAGGCTTACTCTCTACGAAGCAGTGCTTCGCGAAGGCGCCCGCTATGCTAGGCGCGCCCTTCTCGGGGGCTCCGTCGGAGGCCATCTTGGAGGCGTCTCGCGGCCGCCTTGGGGTTCTCTTGGAGCCCTCGAGAGCCGTTTTTGGGGCCCGTTGGGCCGTTCTGCGGGCCTCTTTTGGCCGTCTCGGGGCCCTCTTGAGCAATTTTGGGGCCCCTTTGGGGGCTTCATCGGCCGTCTTGGAGCCTTTTTGGAGGCTGCTTGGGCCAGCATGGTCCTCTGAGAGCCGAAGAAGGTGAGAACGCTAACATGCTTCAAAAACCAAGAGGGAATCAATGATTTTGGCTTCTGGGGGCGCTCTTTCGAGTCCTTTCGGGGGTTCTTTGAGCCGTCTTGGGGGCCTCACGGGCCTTCTTTGGGACCATCCAAGGCCGTTTTGGGAATATTGTGGGCCATCTTGAGGCCCTCTAGGAACCCCATGGGGCTCAAGAGGCCGAATTTGAGGTCAGGACCCCCAGAATGAGGGCCTCCAGATTTGACGCGGCGCTCTGGCGCGGCTCCAGCGGGGGTTAGGGGGAATACATAACAATACAACACATTACCATAGAAAGCTAGTCTGGATTCAATGGATACGTTGCATTACAGCATCCGTGGAAAACGCTGCCGCTCAGCACGTCACCTCCGGACGTGGAATTCCTCTCGCTTCGCGGGGTGCACGTCCAGAGCACGTACAGTCACGTCGTCGCGGAGCCTCTTGGGAGCCTTTGGGGGGCCTCCCGGAGGCCTCCTGGGAGCTTCTTTGGGCCTCTTGAGGGGCTTTTTGGGGGCCTCTACCCCCTCCCTCCTTTTCATGTTCCCTCCCCATATTTCCCTCCAGCGCCGGCTCTAATCATGGGCGCCGCTGCGACCAACTTCCACCTGGCTGGCGCTGCGCCGCAGTTCGCCCAGGTTGGAAAAATGGCATTACATTCCAGTCGCTGTGGCCTTTGGGGGGCTTCTTTGGAGCCTTTGGGAGGTTTCTTGAAGACATCTTGGAGACCTCTTGGAAGCTTTTTGGGGCCCCCTGGGGGCCTCTTGGGGGCCTCTTGGGGCCCCTTGGGGGCGTCTTTGGCTGTATTGGAGCGCTTTTGCGCCGTTTCGCCACTTCGGAGGCCGTCTTGGGGGCCTCTCGCGGCCGCCTTGGGGCCGTCTTGGGGTCCTCTTGGGCCGTCATGGGGGCCTCTTGGACCGTCTTGGGGGCCTCTTTGGACCGTCTTGGGGTTCTGTTGGGCCGTTTTGGGGCCCTCCTGGGGGCTTCTTGGGTTGTTCTGGAGCGATTTAGGAAGCTGCTTGGGCCGCCAAGGCGAGAACGCTAAAATATTAACAAACCATAGGGCAATCAATGAATTCGGCCTCTGGAGGCGCAGTTGTGGGCGCTCTTGGGGCCCTCTTGGGTTGTCATTGGGGTTTTTTGGGCCCTCTTGGGGCCATCTTGGACTGTCTCGGGGCCGTCTTGGCCCGCACAAAACCCATCTTGAGCCGTCTTGGCGCCCTCTTGGCCCCCCATGAGGCCCAAGATGTCGAAATCATAGATTTTCTATAGGTTTGGGTGGGTTTTTGGGCCCCGGGAGGGGAGCGACCATTTTGGTACGGCGGTGTGGCGCGGTTCCCACGGGTGGGGTTAGAGGGGGAAACATACTAATGTAACACAACACAATATGTTGCAATTCTGGAATCTTTGGATACATTGGACACGTTGCATTTAGGCGTTCGCCGAGAAACGCTGCCGCTCAGCACGCCACCTCCGCACGTGGAATTC